ACACACACACACACACACACACACACACACACACACACACACACACAGAAGCCCCTCTCTTACAATCATTCTTTTAAAAAAACAAAACACCAATATCAGAGGAGGATGAGAAGGACCATATTCTCAGAACTATCATCCAAACAGACACTAAAACCTTATACATACATTGCTCAAGCACACAAAGACACACATACACACAGAGGCTACAGGACCCCCTGCAGCTGCATATCTGGTCTGGGAAGCTTAATGCCACCCTGGCAGTGGCAATGGGCAGACAATACTGCAACTACATTTCAGATTCACTCACTGAGAGACAACACAACCCTCCTGACTTGGTTATTTGCTAAGACTTTTTAGTGTGGTTTGGGGAGAAGGGTGATTGGAGGGGTAAGGATAGGGGCTGGAAGAGGACTTTGCATATTCTTGTATCTTTGGCAGACAGCTGTTCTAGCCTGGTTCAAGCTTCCCACTGGGATAACCATATCCTACATGTCCCAGAGCCAACAGGCAGCTAGGGCAGTGCAGAGATTTGAGCCTGAAGCAGATGTATAGCCAGCAGCTGGGCCCCAGCTCTGGCTGTAATTCCCGTACCCCGCCCCACCCCCTCCCCTGCCCATTAACCCTAGTTCCCAGCCACTTCTACAAAGCACCCTGCCCAGAGGACCTCTCGTTTCCAGACTAATGTGGCCTCTAAGACTGAGAAGTGACTGAATGTGGCTCTCCCCTATGGCTGATTACACTTCCGGCTCTAGTTTCAATATTTCCAGACAGCAGCAGCTCAGCCTCCACAGGCTGGCTGTGAACACATCACAAAGGAGGACTTGAGGGAGGAAATTTGGTGAAAACAGAGAAATATATGACACCTTAAAACTTACACACTACACACTAGCTGGTGAATTACACCACGAAACATACACACTTTCTTTTTTTGGGGAGGGGGGAGAAGAACATAAGGGCATGTAGTCTATCCCCTGTTATTGAAAGTCAATGCATGAAAAACCCTAAACAGAATCTCACCTGTGGACAATATTTCTCTATAATAAGAGAAATGTGGAAGAAAAGCAATTTTGTTCCTTGTTACAGATTTCAGAGTGTGCGTGTGTGCCAGGGATACCTTCAGATGAATAAAAAGACCTCCACCATCTGAGGCCTGTTCCAGAGGCCTCCTCTGTTGAAGACATGGGGAAAGAGTGGTCTTCAGAGAGGTTTTTTGGTGACAAAGAGCCACAGGTCAGTTAATTCAAATGCCAAAAGGGTAAATCAACAAGATTAAAAGGGGGGAAGAGTGACAATTAAATGGCTGATGCCATTCAAAACACAAGGTCAGCACCTGCTCTAACCTCACATTAAACAGATAAAACACTTGCTGCAATGACACACGGACTCCCAAAACACATGTTTCACTTGAGCTTTCCAATCTGCCCTGCTCAGAGCAAGGAGTACAATAGCCAATCCAAAGCCACACACGCTGCCCCTTGTTCTTTAAAAATGAGGTTGGAGGACAGGGAGAGAAGGGGGGGTGGGAAAAAAAAATCAAAAACAACTTAACATTTTCTCAAAACAACAGCCTCTCTATAGGCAAAATAAGTTTTGTTTAAAAAGATGGCTTTTTTTCTCTCCCATTTCTAAACCTTTTCCCCCACCTGAGCAATCTAATTACTTGTGTTAGCTTAAAAAAAAAGAAAAAGAAAGCCCCTCCCCCCTTCCCATAACACAGCTTGACCGTGAGGATTCCTTCTCTGTAGCCTCGATCAGCATTCCCACATGCACACAGAGTTTACTTGAAACCAGTCTGTTCAGATTCCTCTTCATCCAGGATGTGGAGTCAGAGCCAGAGGTCCATATTGTGTTGTCTGGAATCCAAAGGAACCCCTTGCCCTCCCTACCCAAAGTCAATCCTTCTTTGTAAATTTCTCTTCATGATGATACCCATTTTAAGACTGTCCAAAAGGATAAGGGCCGTGGAACCCCTGGAAGAGAGTTGAAGACAATAAGTGATTTATTTTTGACAGCATCAAGACAGTGTTGACAAGTCAACCATTAATAGAACCAATTGCATTCAATACACTTTCCTTTGTTCCACTGTCTCAACAATTGCTAGTACGGTCCCTTGGTCACTAGATGTCAGTAAGACAGTGGAGGGAACCAAGGACTTGGGAGTGAGAAGGCCTAGGTTTAATTAACAGTGTTGATATTGTGTAAGATCTCCCCCAAAGTGGCCAGCTAACATGACACTTTTGTTCTTCGTCTACAAATCTGGACATGGTGTACCACATATGTAGGTCACCTGCTGTCACCCATTCTCAAGGAAGTTTGCCCCCAAATTCCATGCTTCTAACCTACGTCCCACATACAGGAATCCAATGTTTCATGGTCTTATTTCCCCTATCTGCTAAGAATCAGATTTAGTCTAGTACACCTGTTGAAAGAAATGACTAAAGAGCTATAGTTTTTTCTTCTCCTCCATTCTCTTAATATTGCAACTATCACTCTTCTCCTACTAGTTCTTTCTTTCTTTCTTTCTTTCTCTTTCTTTCTTTTTATTATGATCAATTTTGAGTGTCTGGGAACAAAATTCCGTTAGCCAAAAAACCCTTTGTTTGATAAGTAACTGTTAATATGTATACATTTAGATAACCCCACTTCATCAAGGAATGTTAACTAGCCACACAAAGTGTCAAGAGAAACAAGTCACTAAAACAGATGTTAACTTTTTTGTGGTAGGAAAGTAGAAACTATGATAAACTAATGTAACAGGATATTATTGCACCGTAAGAAAACTACAAATATGAAGAATTCAGGAAAATTTAAGAAGGCTTATATGAACTGGTGCAAAGCCAAGTAAGCGGAACCAGGAGAGTAATTTATTAAAAAACAAACACAATAACGTAAAGGGAAGCAATACTGAAAGACTTCAGAACTCTCATCAAAGAACTGAGAGTGAAGCATGCCTACTTTCTCCCAGTAAAAAGGTGAATGACCAGAGTTATAGATCAAAGCATACACTCTCAGACAGAGGTATATGTTGACTTATTTCATTAGTTGTACTCACCAGGCCATGTTACCAATTTGTGGGAGTGCTAGCACTGTCCTATATGAACCAAAGGACTATGATAACATAGTATAGTGGCAAGAGCAGTGCTGAGGACTGTGGCTCAGGAGGGTTAGTCTTGCCACTGACTGACAGCTTAACTCTGGGCATGTCAAATATCCCTCTATGGGCTTCCCTTTTCACTTCTATAAAATGAGGTGATACAGCATAGTTTCTTAACCCTGAGGCCCACAGACCTCCCCTCAATGCATCTGTGGATAGATTTCAGGGAGTCCATGAACTTGGATGGGAAAAAAATGACATCTTTATTGTAACATAATTGATTACCCTTTGTAACACTATGTATTTTATTTTATGCATTTAAAAACATGGTTCTGAGAAAGCATCAGGGGCTTCACCAGCCTGCCAAAGGCGTCCATGCCTCAAAAAAGGTTAAAGACTTCTGGACTAGAGATCTTGAAGGTTCTTTCCAGTTCCAATATTTTAGTGATTTTATTTTCAAGTTTGCAAAAATTTACCTGAACCAGACCACAAAAGATCCAGAGACCCAGTGGCTTGATTATATTCAAACCTAGAGACCAGGGAAACCAGAAAGAATGGGGAGGGGGCCTCCAATGTAAAGCACAACCTTACCTAAATGCTAACTAGAGGTCTTCTTCTTGCTGTTACCAATCACCCTACCCCGCCCTGCCAGAATCCCAATTACTGAATAGTGTCACTGAACCAAAGCCCCTGGGAGCTATCATTCCACTTCCCTGATGCTCTACAGCAGACAGCTCCAGCCTTCCATAGTCCCTAAGAAATAACTATTCTTTAGAGTGACAATTCCAAGCAGAACAGCAGTTACCAAATGAAGAGGAAGGCAAAGGAAAGAAGGAGGCTTAAGACAAGTGGTTCAGACTCAATTCTCAACAACAGTTCAAACACTTATCCTAGTATGCCATAAACCTACCAAAAAGCCAGTGGAGTTTCAGCTTAGAGAAATAATATTATGGGAAGTAGCATGATGTAGCAGAAACAGCACTGTATTTGGGAGTCAAAAGTAAAGACTAAGTCAGTTTCATGAGTTATGGGCAAATTGCTTCCCTTCCTTGAGCCACAGTTTTCTCATCTGTCAAAGGGAGATGATAAACATTTGCACTACAGAATTCACAGATTCATAGAAAAAGTCCTGGATTTTGCATAAATTAGCTATGTGATATCTCGAGCATGCCATTATCTCTCTGAATTTCAGGTTCTTCATGTATAAGACAAAGAGAATAAAAATAATAAAATTATGCTACCTAGTCTACAAAGAGTTGTTGGGGGGAAATAATTATGTTATAACCTTAAAGTATCACTGACAGTAGGCATCACTACCATAGCTAACACACACACACACACACACACACACACACACACACATACACACACATACATATTGGATCTATGATCTCATTTGATTCTCACAAGAACCCTGAGGTAGGCACTATTTTTGTCCCCGTTTTGCAGATGAGGAAAGAAGGCTCAGAGAGATCTGAATGACTTTGCCTGGAGTCACACAGTGAGGAAAAATTTCATACAGATAAATTTGATATGAGGAGTGTTCATTTGCTGTCAAGTGTTTGTTCATACCAAATTAAACTTCCTAGCCTATCTTTTAAACTTCAGGACAGCCTCTATGAGGCACAACTATCCTACCTCCAGCTCATATTACACACATTTGAACTGCCTAGTGTTACAAGTCTGGGAAATACACAGAACAGAGTTCAAGACACAGGTGTGCATCTTCATTTTACTGAGAAGGAAACGTTAAAGCCTAAGCCTGTTGGCAGAGGTAGATGGAAGAACACATTTTAAAATTTCCACACTAGTGCTCTGACCCTTAGACTACTTACTTACAATGTGGTATTTAATCTATTTTATACAAGCTTTCCTCGATCCTCTATTTACCATTTCCTTGACATTTAGGGGAAGGAAGAAATGATTCCTAATTCCCTTTCACCAGAGAAATGGCAATAATTCCAGGGGTGGAGGTACTGAAGGCCTATTTAAAGAGGCAGAAAGGTACCTTCTGATGCTTGTTCTTTCTCCCTTTCCACTGCTCTCATACCATCAAAGCGAGCACTATCACTTTAAGGAAGAAAAAGAATACAATTTTCAAATAGTTTAAGACATCTGCTGTACTTATGCTTGATTTTAAATACTGAGGGCAGATCGTTCAAGTAGAGAGAAAAAGTAATAGATTTTGAGAGGCAGCAAGGAATGAAGAAATTTCCAAGCACAGTTTGTGCAGATTGTCTTACGGCAGGATACCAAAAAACTCCATTTTTTTCCCTCACCGGGAGCTATCAACCTAAGTGCCACTACCATGATTAGTGTTCAGTGCCACTACCATGATTATTGTTCTCTAGCAGCTACAGTTGAAAGGACAGGATAACAGTGTATTGTGGCCAATATGATCAGCTTCCATCATTAAGACAGAGTTAAGGCACCTACACACTAGGAAATAACTTTTTCACTACACACCCAAACAGGGTGAATGTAGACATTACCTTGTGAAATTAAGCTAAGGACTAAAGTAGGTAGGCTCAAGATCACTTTGAGATCTTGACACCAAAAGCACTTATCTGACTTGATTTCAGTAGCATAGTTTCTTCCACAAGTCAGTCATGTCACAGATGACGATGGAATGCAACAGAAGGGATATAACAGGTGGCAACACCTAAGTCCTGAGCCCAACTACAAGACACATGAAACAAAGGGCCACTGGGGCCACGAGGCTGATTACAATGCCCATTTGGAAAGTCAGTGTAACTCACAACTACATTTCAAGTAGAAGCTGAAACTCAAACTGACTCTTGATAATTCACAACAACAGAGGTCAATGTTATTGTGACCAAAAGCTGAAAACAAATAGGAGACTCTCTAAGGAATATATATGAAATAATCTTCATTCACACCCTCAAGAAAAGGTCACAATTTCAGAGTGGGAAGGGATTTCAGAGATTATCTTAATCTAACCAGCACCCAAACAGGAATCCTTTATATAATACAAAAATTTTTTGCTTACAAAATCCCAGTTTAAATCTGTGAGTTTGCAGATTACTGATGAGTTGCTATGCTGTTTTTATGGGAAACAAGAATATTTTCTGGGGAACAAGGAATACGACCTCAATTACCTATAATGACAACACAGTGGCCAAAATTCACAAGACCCTACCTGGACAAGTAGAAAGGCTTTCTGAGGTAGGGTTATTGGGCCCAGCTTCCAGAGACTTTCATTCACATAGGATTATGGTTTCCAACAAAAGTGCAGCAAGTATTCAACAATGAGGAACTCATTCTTCAATAGTATTCCCACTTTCCTCAATGGAGATTCCAACATCCAATGGGTGTCATATCATCGTGCTGGAAATGGAACCAGAGCCCTGACTCAAGTTAGAAGGCAGAGGAACTCTCATGGATATAGAGTATTCTCTACCTCTCAGCTGGGTCAGGGATGCTTTTCTGCTCCTCACAAGAACAACGGGCTCTGCTGCAAGGAGCAGGAACATGACCTTCAACCAATCAAGATGGTAGAGCAGTCAGGCAGGTTCCTGAGTCTTCCAGATTTTATATCATAAGACACCCAGAGATAATCAGGATCTATTATTTTCAAAGATTTTTTTAAAAAATGAAATTGAGACACTCACTTTCCATCTACCTTGAACTCAGGCCCCTAAAATTAAAAAAAAAAATTTCTTCTAATCCTTAGTACACAGCATCTATCAGAGCAAAAGTTGTTTTAAAAAAAATCGTCCAACACATCATTTGCTCTTACAGTTGTCAAAATGGGTGTGAATGAAGATTATTTCATATGTATTCCTTAGAGTCTCCAATTTGTTTTCTGCTTTTGGTCGCCACAATAACATTGACCTCTATTGTTGTGAATGATCA